CCCAGCACTCAGGAGGCAGAGGCAGGTGGATCTCTGAGTTTGATGTCAGCCTGGTCTACAAAGTGAGTTCCAGGACAGCCAGGACTACACAGAAACCCTGTTTCAAAAAACAAACAAACAAAATTACAATAAATAAATCTATTCCATTACCACTGACATAGTAGTTCCTTTTAGAGGCTGTCCATAAAAGAATACAGTGGTGGTTACACTATTTCACATTAGGTAACACTTATTTTCATCAAGGAATTGAGAGATTTCCCTGCTCAGGCAGCTAAGAGCGAACTGATGGAAAAGGCCACGTGCCCTATGTGCCCAGAAGTTTAAGGCATGATTCTCTTCCCCTGGTGCCTACAAGCCAACCTCATGAGATCCTATGTCCATGCCCAGCCCTCGTGGAAGCTAGGAGCACCTGGGTGTGGTGATGCCTGCCTCTAATCCCAGAACTCAGGCAGGGAAGGAGGATCTTTTGAGTTCAGAAAGAATTGCAACCACCTGCTGAGTTCTCTCACATGCTTAGACGCTGAAAGGTGGGAGATGAGAATATTCTCCGCCCTCCCCAACACGATCCTTACCTTGTCATTTTAGTTGCTGCTCATTTTCTCTCTCAATCGTAAGTTGTTAGTCTAATTTCATTAGCAGACAGATAATCGTGTGCATTGGGCGATGGTGGCGTGCTATGGCTTCAGGGCAGTCTGATTCTAACTGCACCATTATGTTTTTAATGGGAGACATTTCCATAATAGTTCTGTGTAGTGATTTCTAGTGTATCAGCACATGTGCGTGGTGTGTGTGCGTGGTGTGTGTGTGTGTGTGTGTGTGTGTGTGTGTGTGTGTGTGTGTGTTGTCCTTCCCTTTCAACTACGTGTGTACTTTGTTGTGTACAAGGTTTTTCTGATAAAATGTAGGAGCTAGTAGAGGAGGCACATGGGCTTCAGGGCGTGAGTACATTCCTCGTAGGCCACAGAGTCAGTCACAAGTGGTAACCGATGACCCCATGTAAAGGAAGGAAAAGACTTAAGACTGATTGGTCTACAATTCTGCAATTAGCATCCTGGATAGCTGTCGAAGTCAGAGGGGGTGCCAACTACCACCATTTCATTTACCAGACATTATATAAATTCTTTCTTTCTGTTTTGCAGTTTTTTTTTAAGTGTGTGATGTGTATGTATGCGTATGTAGTGTGTATGTATGTGTATGCTGTGTGTGTGGCCTATGCTCACAAGTGTTTGTAAACAACATATCTTCCGGTGCCCAGAAAGGCTGGTAGATCATCAGATCCCCTGGTGTTGATGTTACAAGTGGCTGTGATTTCTGATGTGGACTCTGGGACCTGAACTCAGGTCCCCTGGAAGAGCAGAAAACATTCTTAACTGCTGAGCCATCACCCCAGCCCTGAATTCCCTTAATGTCCTGGTTGGTGGTCCATTCTGTTCATCTGTTGTCTACATATATGTAGCATTCAGTTGCAGGTTATAGTTGTTTTAGCCATTATTTCAGAAATGAGTTAACTTATATCCCAGACCCAGGCTACGTAATGTTTCATTGTGTATATTGATGACTTTTTTTTTAATGCAGCCTTTAGCGGTTTATCAAATAGTTGTGGGTGTGAGTCAGTTCATGCTCACTGGGTTTCTGGAAAGTGATTTGGGAAATCATTGGATGTCAGGAGAGTAAAGCCATTGTTAATTAAGAACTGTTAAGTGAGAAGGACCATCCCAGCTACATTTAATGACAGCTGCCGAACACTCCAGTTTATTAACCAGACTGTCTTCCCCTGCTCCCTCCCTGTCAGCTCCCAGATGGCTCAGAGATACCCCTTCCTCCCATCCTGTTGGGTAAGCTGGGCAGCGACCCCCAGAAGAAAACAGTGTGCATTTATGGGCACCTGGACGTGCAGCCTGCGGCTCTGGAGGATGGCTGGGACAGTGAGCCCTTCACCCTGGTGGAGCGGGATGGTAAGAGGGGAAAGTCTCTGCACTCCAATAAGCCTCTCTGCTGATGCAGCAATCCAAAGCAGAACAAGTCAAACCGAATTTTAGAAGTCCTCGTTTAATGGATACAAAGCTCCCACCCAGATGGCCTTCCAGCACACCCTCTCCCCTCCCCCCAGAGGAGACAGGAAAGAGAGACCAGAAAAACCACACATCTGTTTTCTAGGGGACAGTTTAAATACCCTGTAGGAGTGGTCTTGAGTGTCTCTGGGGGAGGGGTCATCATTTGGTGGGCTTCCTAAGGAAGATGCAGCAGGGTTGGGAGAGAGTTAATGGGGACTTGGGTGGAACTTCCACCAGAACATTCCAGACTCTTTGGGTATATGGATGCCAGGGGCTGGGGTGAAGCTTCCACCATAACAAAGGGCACCTGGTGCTTGCCCACTGAAGTACTCAAAATTAGAGGAATAGTTTTGGAGATGTTACATTTGGAGAATCACTATTATTCCCCTCGGGTTTTCTTTCTGGTACATTTTTAATGGAAGTTTCTCGTTTGTGCCTTGGTTACTGAGAGCTCAGAAAAGTTTTCCTTTTCTTATGACAAGTCCTTGGTGGGAGCCCACCAGGCCTCCCTTCAGCCCTAACAGGTTTCCAGATCATCCATTCCAAATTGAGGCTGCATAGTCCCCCGAAGGCCACAGCCTCTCCTTCTTACTTCCTCTTGTGAAATACACAGCTTCCATTCCCAGTTGTCACTGTTCAGGTCAGGAGAGCCTCTGAGATATAGCACCATCTGCCTTTGTGCCTTGTCCCTCAGGACTTGAATCCCAGGCCCCCTAACTGAGTGTGGAGTCTGCCGCTAGACATGTCCTGACTCCCTGTGGACTGTCACGTGCCTGTGAAATGGGAAAAGATATTTTTACCTAATACCATTGCTGTTGTAACTCCATGGGCACTTGGATTCCTCCTTAGTATCAGACCTACATGTCTGCGTGGTAGTTCATGGTCATGAACTAGCTGTTCATGGACTGTCTGGACTGGGCATCCTCATCTCTCTTCCTTGGGCCCTCTCTCACACACCCTTTGAATAATACCATCTTCCCGCCACCTATACCAGAAACAGGGCTGTCCTGTCCCTGCCTTGTGCCATCTCTAGTCCCTTCCCAGCCTCTGCCCCACACATGTTGAGGATTCCTCAGTGCTGATCCCAATGACAAGGCCACACTCCTTGTAGCCTAACACCTCCCAGCTGCTTCATTTTCATACTCATATTTATATTAGGCAACAAATTGGGATGTGAGTATAGTCTGTAGTGTTCTGTGATGATGTCCATGTGCTTCCGAAGCAACCAGGCTTCCACGTCTTAAATGTTTCCTGGAAACAGATGCTAAATCTCTGTGAATCCTGGTCCTAGCCATTGCTGTGCAAGGGAAAGGGATGCACCCATGTGACTGCCTCTTGGATTGCAAGAAATTCCCTGTGAATTTAGCATAGGGATGGCTGGAGACTCGGGCTCTTAAAGTGAAAATAGCCCTATTGCTCAGCACAGCTGTGTGAGTTTGTGCCTAGGTGTTCACTTGAGAAAAGGTCTTTTCAATTTGTTGTCTCTAACTGGATCTGCTGATTGCTGTTCCAGGCAAGTTGTATGGGAGAGGCTCAACGGATGATAAGGGGCCAGTGGCCGGATGGATGAATGCCTTGGAAGCCTATCAGAAGACTGGCCAGGTACACCCCCACATCAGATTCTGTCCACTCATCAGCTCGTGTGAGTAGAGGTCTAAAGGTCACTAGAGAGGAGAAAGCAAGGCTCCACCTTGGTCAGCAGAGGTGACTTAGATGGAAGATTACAGCTGTTTGCAGTTCTAGAAATCATTAAGCACTTCATTGTCTTACAGGTGCCCAAAGGTCAAGTTATCACCACTCAGCAACATTCTTGCCAACACTTAGAATGTGATCTTTGTTTCTCTCCTTTCTTTCTGTGCTGGAATCAAACCCAGGTCCTCATGCATGCTTGGAAATTCCATACCACTGAGCTGTATCGCCATCCCCAATATGAATTGAATTTTATTTTATTTTATTGTGAATGTTTTGAGGATTTTTTTTTTGTTGCTTATTTGTTTTCCTTATAATTTTGTTATTGTTGTTTTATATTTTAGGCGTTTTTTGTTTTGTTGTATATTTTTTGTTTTTCATGGCAGGGTTTCTCTGTGTAGCCTTGTGTACACTCTGTAGACCAGGCTGGCCTTGAACTCACAGAGATCTGCCTGCCTCTACCTCTTGAGTGCTGGGGCTAAAGGTGTGTGCCACCACCGCCTGGCTTGTTGGCATTTTTTTATTGTTGTTGTTGGTTGGTTGGTTTTGAGACAGGGTCTCACTATGTAGCCCTGGCTGACCTGTAACTCACAGAGCTTCATCTGCCTTTGCTTCCTCCCTAGTGCCAGGTTAGAGGTATGCACCACCACTCCAGCTCCCACTTGTGAGGTTTAGGTGGACTAGTTTGTTTGATACAGAGTCATGTTCCATAACTCAGGCTGGCCTTGAACTCATGACAACCCTCCTTCCTTAGCCTTCAAGTGCTGGGATTGCAGACTTGTGCCACAACCTTGACTAACACAAACTTTCAACCTCTGACTGTACCCATGAGTGTAGTTCCTTGCCAGAATGTAACAGACTTTGTGATATTGGGCAAATTCTTTTCTCTGTGTGCTTTATATTCTCATAAAAAATAAATATTAGATTAGTTTGAGTGTTTTTTTTTTTCTTTTTCTCAAAGTTGCCAAAATATAGAAAATGGGGTGGGAGGGCATTTTTAGAAACTTAACTCTCTATAGCTTCTAGTATTGTTCCCTACCAGATTCTTTGATTATCATTAGCCTGATTGTGATCATGATGTCTGGATAGTTTTTGCTTATGGATTTTATTTCAGATCATGATGAAATAAGAATAAATACTTTTGTTAAGGTGGAAAATTATATCTGGAAACAGGCTCACATTCTTTATCTGGGATCACCTGCATGATTCCAGACACACACACACACACACACACACACACACACACACACACACAGCCTGTCCAACAGCTGACCCTGAGAGCTGGGCACAGAAACCAGGAAGACTCAGCAACTGCAGGCCTTCACACAGTGTGGGAGGCCACAAAGGGGAGGGTGCACAGGACAGAGCCCTGAACACCTCTACTTAGAGCTGGTCAGTGTATTGAGGTTCTAAAGATTTCACCTGGGACAGAAGCAGAGGGCAGGAGGGAGCTGGGGCTTTTAGGCTGTGAACCCTGTGGTTCTGTCCTGTGTTACCTGCTCATTCGCAGCTCCTTTGCTCACTTGTGGACAAGCTACCTGCTTCATCCCATGGGGCTAGAAGAACTCCTGGAACATTATGCAGAGCACTTGACCCAGATTCCAGAGCTGTGTTGAGATTCTCACCCAGCACCTCAGGACCTCTTGGTTTCTTATGCAGAGGGATGCTGGCAATGTAGAAGGCCTCCCCAGTGTGGAAAAGGTCTCTCTTAACCATAGCAACAGTGAAGGCTCAGTAATTATTCAAAAAAAAAATTATCTCCTGATTCCTCTTATTTTCTTTATTTGTGTATGTGTAAGTATGAACACTACTGGCAAGTGTTATTGCATGTGGGTACATTTGTACCAGGGTATGCATACATGTGGGGGTCTGAAGTTGAGTTACAGAACATTGAGAGCAGCTATGTTTGTGCTGGGAGTGGAACCCTGGTCCTCTGGAAAAGCAATCAGTGGACCGATATGCGTTGCCCTTCTCTCTGTCTCATGGCTTTGCCTACACTCATTGGCTCACTCTGTGATTGAGGGGATCCCTGGGCAGGGCATACCTAAGCATGGTGTAAGGCTTTCCCTTCCGAACCTGGACTCCCACAGGCCAGTGAGAGAAGATCTCATATTTGAAGCTAAATTTCCAGTCTCTTGCCTGTTGCTTCTGCAAGTAAGGAAACTAACTGTTTTGCTATGTCCCTATCACAGGAGATTCCTGTCAACCTGAGATTCTGCCTGGAAGGCATGGAGGAGTCTGGCTCCGAAGGCCTGGATGAGTTAATTTTTGCCCAGAAAGACAAGTTCTTCAAAGATGTGGATTATGTCTGCATTTCAGACAACTACTGGCTGGGGAAGAATAAGCCATGCATCACGTACGGCCTCCGAGGCATTTGTTACTTCTTTATTGAGGTATGAGCTGAACCCCACAAACTTCGCCTTTTGTCTCGCTAACCCATGAGTCTCTTCGTTCTTTTGTACCTTGACACGGGCAAATACCAAGAAGTTAATCAGACATGAAGGAAGAGCTCAGAGCTTTCCAGGGCCCTTCTTGGATTCCATAATCCATCCTGATACCCCAGGCATGGACTTCTGAGGTCAGAAGTCCAATCTCATGGCAGTTTCAAATTAAGACTGTATTATCCGTGATATTGTATTAGATTAGATGAGATGACAGCAAATGCTAGTCCTTCTAAGACGGCTTGGTCAAGTGAACGCTTGAGAACCCTTCCTTTAAAAGTTACAGTGTTCACATTTTAGCAGGTAAGTGCTAATCCCATGTCTGAGTTTTCCTGAGAGAATGGAGACTCTCTACCAGATGAACAAGGAGTGTGGCAATCTCTGCCACAGGCTGATAGAGACCTTCTCCCACTGGGATGATGATGGTGGGTTTCCTAGTAAGAAAGAACCGATGGCTGTAGCTGTGCTGAGACTATGTGAATGTTACAATTGGTAACATTCTTTCTCTTTATAGATAGGAGTCTAAGCACATAGTGGTTACCTGGCTTGCCTGGTTACAAGACCAATCAGTACTAAAATGGGTCTGAACCAGATCCTGGGGTTTCATGTTGATGGGGTCATGCTTCAGGCTTGGTATTGTCCTCTGAGGAAACATGTGCAGGGTGTCTACAAAATGACAAGATTCTGCCCTTCCTTTTAAAGGGGTTACCAGTGTTAGAGAGGCTTCTCTGTACCATACTTCTATCTGCAGCCAGAAGCGCCCCGCCCCCCCTCTCCCCCGGTCCCCCTGCCTCCAGCTTTCCCTGTGCACCTGCAGCCAGCATTCTCTATACACCTGCAGCCCAGCATTCCCTGTGCACCTGCAATCAGCATTCTCAGTGCACCTGCAGCCCAGCATTCCCAGTGCACCTGCAGCCAGCATTCTCTATACACCTGCAGCCCAGCATTCCCTGTACACCTGCAACCAGCATTCCCTGTGCACCTGCAATCAGCATTCCCAGTGCACCTGCAGCCAGCATTCCCTGTACACCTGCAGCCAGCATTCCCAGTGCACCTGCAGCCAGCATTCCCAGTGCACCTGCAGCCAGCATTCCCAGTGCACCTGCTGCCAGCATTCCCAGTATACATGTGGTCTGCACACCCAGGAGTCCATCTGGTGTCTGGAATTTCTAATTGGGAAATGCCTGCTTTGCTCCTTGGGGGAGCAGATTTGGACTAGAAAACTGTCAGTCTTATAACTGTTCTTTGTCAATGCAATGTCACATAATTAAAATAAGCTCCCACTAAGCCACCAAATAAAGTGACCTTTTGTTTCTGTCCAGGTGGAATGCAGTGACAAAGACCTCCATTCTGGAGTGTATGGTGGCTCAGTGCATGAAGCCATGACGGATCTCATTTCACTGATGGGTGAGCTTAGGGCTGGAGCTGCGTGGGCCAGCACTCTGTCACTTAGGGAAGTGGGCAGGGTACTTTCTATAAGCTATCTGTGTGCATGCCTGGCATGTTTCAGCATCTTTCATGAGCCTACTCAGTCATGTTTCTAATTACGTTTCCTTCCTCTGGGCATGACTTTACTTAAAGGACCCTGTGTTTCATCCCTGCCTCTGCCCCTTCCCGTCCTTGCATCTATCGCATACCTCGTCCTCCCTATCTGTAGAACTGTTCTCCCTCCCTTATCCAGTGGGATGGCCTTTAGTCCCTTAGAAACCCTGAATGCTATCGTTCATGTGAACATGGATTTTACATTTCTCAGGACATCTGCTTTGACCTGTTCCCACTGGCTGTAACTAGGTCCCCTTGTTTGGTCAGCTTCTGGAGAGCAGGAACGACAGCTTCCTTCCAGTATTGTACTAGTATAAAATGACTAAGTGAAGCCATTGTCTCTGTGTAGTTTTCTAACCTCCTTCTCTCATCCTGTGTCACAGGATCAAGGCTCCCGCAGGTGAAGTGACATTGCATCTATAGTAGAGACTGCTCTGTAACACTCAGAGGTCCCCTCACCAGCCTTAGAGGACCTTGTTTCTTGTGGAATGTGCATTGTCAAGAAATGGTGGCTAGTGTGGGTTTTTAGTTCGTGTCCTGGTGCACAACTGGGGGCTAACATATGCACTCTACCTGCTCCTCGGTCTCTCTCTAAAAAGCAGGGGTGAGGAGTGGCCCTGTTTCCTTGAGGCTACTTAACTGACTTACTGGCATAATGCACCCAGGTGCTTCTGCCCTCCTGCTGCTGCCATGTGGCCATTTGCCCTGGTACCTGAGTTCTTAGAGTCAGAACAACTCAGAACACTGGATATGCTCTGCCCCAGCTAAGCACCCCGCCCTCTGCTACTTCCCTCAGGCTGTCTGATAGACAAGAAGGGGAAAATCCTCATCCCTGGCATCAACGATGCCGTGGCTCCTGTGACAGAAGAGGAGTGCAAGCTCTATGACCACATTGACTTCAATATGGAAGAGTTCGCCAAGGATGTGGGGGCTGAGACCCTTCTGCACAGCTGCAAGGTGCTACTTGCCCTCCTGTGCCCCCGCCCCTGACAGACCACCAGGGCTCCATGACAGACATGTACACCACACCTCACAGACAGACATCCAGTGTCAGAGGTTCATCCTAGGAGGGAGGGGTGTGCTCAAGACCCATCAAAAGCAGGGTGTGATCAAGTTGAGAGCTGTTAGGGCTTTCAGATGCCAGGAGCAACCTTTGACCAAGTGGGGGAAGGGGGCCTCTGAGGGATCAGAGCCCTCTCTTGCCATGGGTGCTATATTTGCTCCATTTGAGTTTATGGGCCACATTGTTCCCAGAAGGCCCAGAGATTAAGCTGGAGACAGAAGCTATATGCCATTACTTAATAGGTAGGAGAAAAGTTCTATCTTAATTTATTTCTTGTCTTAGGAGTGTGGCTATCAGTTTGTCACCTCAGTGTAGCCAAGATTATCAGACATTAACAGATCCTGCCTCTTCTGGGTCCTAGGGACAGGACATGAGAGGAACAGGCCAGGCTGGACTTCTAAGTTTCGCCTGTCTCAGAGTCAAAGGAATAAATAACTATAAACGGTTGTGCTATCAGGCAGTCTGGGCACAAGGCTGAAGGGTCTGGCTAAGGGGAGATATCAAGCCTGACTAGAGTCTTATGGGAGTTGCTTCTCAGTCTGACAAGGTCTGAGAGACGAACCGAGACATCTTAGCCTATTGGAGGCTCACAGCACACAACACCAACACCATTCACCATCACTTCTTGAGGCCATTACTGCTGCACAACCCCCCTTTGGAGTAATGTGACATTAATTCCAGTACATTGCCATCTCCTCCATGAGCAGATCTGACCTCTTGTGCTTCTACAGAAAGACATCCTGATGCACAGATGGAGATATCCGTCCCTCTCCCTCCACGGAATAGAAGGGGCCTTCTCCGGTTCAGGGGCCAAGACTGTGATCCCCAGGAAAGTGGTTGGCAAGTTCTCCATCAGACTCGTGCCCAACATGACACCTGAAGTTGTTAGTGAGCAGGTATGTGGGGTCCAGGGCATGAGTGGGGACAGAAGTTGTGGGGTACACACTTGTAAGAACTTTCTCCTGGGTAGAAGAAGCCCCCACATCCTAACTCCTACCCCTCAACATTTGCTGTAATAAGCAGTGTAGAAGCTTGTCAAAGACAAAGGTCATGTGTGTGAGCATTTGTGAACTTCAGACTACTGATGCATGTGAAAATATGACCTCTGACCTCACCCCAAAGATGTAAAGCAAACACTCTTGCATGTGATCATCTGTTAGCTGAAAGTCGCGGAGAGCAGCCTGTCTCAGGGGTGAGAAGAAGGGTGGATCTGGGTGGCTGCAGGTAAGCGGGGCTCATGGAACACAAACCTTGTTGATGAGAGACGTTGTAAAGAGATGAGATGAGAGGCTTCTGGGAAGAGGACACTAGTCCTGTCTCCAGAGGAAAACAGGCAGCTCCCCTAGACCAGCCCCCCACCCCTTGGTTTTGTTTTGTTTTGTGTTTTGTTTACATTTATCATGTATATGAATGCTTTGCCTCTCAGCTCAAATAAATCCCTCGCTCAGGTCCTGTTTCTTGCTGCAGTGATTATACACATCGGTATCCAGCAGCAGAGAACAAAGCTACCCACAGGCCCTTTCTAGACTCCTAGATGCTATATAGACCCATTATGCCCAACTCGTTGTCATGACATCTAGACACCCTGCAGATTCTTCTCATTGAGTCAAATGCTGGATATGAAATACCTTGTGTCTCTTCTGCTTATGGTTTAGGTTTCAAGCTACTTGTCAAAAAAGTTTGCTGAACTGCACAGCCCCAACAAGTTCAAGGTGTACATGGGCCACGGTGGGAAGCCCTGGGTATCTGACTTCAACCATCCTCATTACCAGGCTGGGAGAAGAGCCCTGAAAACAGGTTGGCTGTCCTCTGAGGTAGATGCCAGGTCCCTGAGAGTGTCTGAGGACTCTGTTGTAGCGTGTTGTACACATGACGGTGGAGATGGCGTTGTGAGGGGTCTGAGATGTGAAGAGAGACCCGAGCCTCAGTCTATAGGAGTGGATTCCTGAGCCCAGGGTCTGGACTAAGCATTGCAAAGTGGTGGCTCTCTGGCATCCAGGGCCCAGAGTACATCATTTCTCTTTATTTTACTTTCCCCAGTGTTTGGTGTTGAACCTGACTTGACCAGGGAAGGTGGCAGTATTCCTGTGACCCTGACCTTTCAGGAGGCCACAGGCAAAAATGTCATGCTGTTACCAGTGGGGTCAGCAGATGACGGTGCCCACTCCCAGAATGAAAAGCTAAACAGGTGAGACTGGGCCCTGGGCCTGAGGTTGGGTTGCATCCTTCAGCAGGCAATAGGTCTGTGGTCCCTCCTCTGTTGTCCCATAGGGGTCTGTTAGTGAGAGCTGATGAGAGGCAGGCTTAAGGCCGTGGTAGCGGCAGACTGAAAACAGGATTCGTCCAGCATTCATTGCTCATCACACTCTTCATGTGGCACCCATAAAATACCACTTGTTTATGAAAAGTTACGCTATCATCACTAACCACTCAAGCCCCCTCTGACAGGCCTTCCTCCCACCCTCCTGCAGGTGAAGCAGGGAGGGGGGTACCAGGCAAGCAGACTGCAGGCGCTGTGGGAGGCTACAGCCCTTCATTCACTCCCAGGGTATGAGACAAAGTTCTAGACCAAGGCCAGGACTTGTAGTAGTTGTTTTTGTTTTGTTTTTGTCTCATTTGGGGGCCTGCCTTCCAGCTCCCAAATAATGAATTCCTGACCTTAGCTTGGCTTATCCCATCTACCTTTTGCCTCTGGGCTTTTACTTTTCTCTATTCTATACACTGTTTTTTTCTTCTTACTCCATAGCTGGCAGGGTAGCTAGCCCCCGGCATCCCCCTCTCTTCTCCTTTTCTCCCTCCTCCCTCTTCTCCTTTTTCTTTTTCTTTTCTTTCTCTCTGCCTGGCAGCCCCACCTATCCGCTCTCCTGCCTAGCTATTGGCCGTTCAGCTCTTTATTAGATCAATCAGGTGTTTTAGACAGGTAAATAACACAGCTTCACAGAGTTAAATAAATGCAGCATAAAAGAATGCAACACATCTTCGCACCATTAAACAAATATTCCATAGCTTAAAAGAATACCACACATCTTTAACTAGTATTCCACTAAGGACTGGTAACTGTAGTAAGGAATGGTGGGAGATGTCACATCAAACTTGTACTTAAAAATTGCCAGGCTGAATTCTACAGCCAAACCACACTTCCAGCTTGAGCCGGGGTGCTCCCAAGAGACAAAGCAGTAGGAAGACTCACTGCCCACCTGGATGCTGACTCCTCAATCAGCTGCTGATAGGTGGTGGTGGTTGTTGTTTTCTCTACTAGGCACAACTACATAGAAGGAACCAAGATGCTGGCAGCATACCTGTATGAGGTGTCTCAGCTGAAGAACTGAGAACTCTCGTATTCCATAGAGTGCTGTGCCTGCCCGGAAACAACCTACCCTCTGCCCTCTTCCTTCCAGCTTTCTTAGGGAAGTGGAAGTTTCTTTTCCCTATCTCCCTCAGGTCACAGGCAGACTTGCAAGAATGGAGACACTGTAGAGTCACTGTGTCAGACAGTTGAACATGCTCAGTCCTAAGGCTTACTAGAGACAGCTGACTGGCCCAGATGGGGAGGATGGAGTTCTCAGAGTGGGCAGTATGACTTCCCCCAGAGAAGGTAGCCAGAGGCCAAAAGCTCCAGTCTGGGAGAGGTACTGCCCATCCGCGAGCTTGTGCTGTGACAGCCCCATGGTGACCGCTCACTGTGCTCTGTATCTGTTCTTAAGACCCTTGCTGACCATCACTGGTGTCCCCTCCTGTTGCAGTCCCCTCAACCTGTCCACACAGCCCTAGTGGAAGCGTCAGTCCTGAGCTAGCTACCCTGATAAGAAAGAGGATGATGTGCCTCTGGAGGAATGGCTGGAGCCTCACTTTCTTGGGGAATACACATGCGGGCGTTCACCAGTGCATGGGGATACACATGCCAGTGTTCACTGGTGCATGGGAATACACATGCGGGTGTTCATGGGGCATGGGGAATACTCATGCGGGCATTCCATGGTGCATGGGGATACACATGCAGGTGTTCATGGTGCATGGGAATACACATGCCGGTGTTCACTGGTGCATGGGGATACACATGCAGGTGTTCACTGGTGCATGGGGATACACATGCGGGCGTTCACCAGTGCATGGGGATACACATGCAGGTGTTCACTGGTGCATGGGGATACACATGCGGGCGTTCACCAGTGCATGGGGATACACATGCAGGTGTTCACTGGTGCATGGGGATACACATGCAGGTGTTCATGGTGCATGGGAATACATGCAGGTGTTCACTGGTACATGGGAATATACATGCGGGCGTTCACCAGTGCATGGGGATACACATGCAGGTGTTCACTGGTGCATGGGGATACACATGTGGGCGTTCACCAGTGCATGGGGATACACATGCAGGTGTTCGCTGGTGCATGGGGATACACATGCAGGTGTTCATGGTGCATGGGGATACACATGCAGGTGTTCGCTGGTGCATGGGGATACACATGCAGGTGTTCACTGGTGCATGGGAATACACATGCGGGTGTTCATTGATGCATGGGGATACACATGCAGGTGTTCACTGGTGCATGGGAATACACATGCGGGTGTTCATTGATGCATGGGGATACACATGCAGGTGTTCACTGGTGCATGGGAATACACATGCGGGTGTTCATTGATGCATGGGGATACACATGCAGGTGTTCACTGGTGCATGGGAATACACATGCGGGTGTTCATTGATGCATGGGGATACACATGCAGGTGTTCACTGGTGCATGGGAATACACATGCGGGTGTTCATTGATGCATGGGGATACACATGCAGGTGTTCACTGGTGCATGGGAATACACATGCGGGTGTTCATTGATGCATGGGGATACACATGCAGGTGTTCACTGGTGCATGGGAATACACATGCGGGTGTTCATTGATGCATGGGGATACACATGCAGGTGTTCACTGGTGCATGGGAATACACATGCGGGTGTTCATTGATGCATGGGGATACACATGCAGGTGTTCACTGGTGCATGGGAATACACATGCGGGTGTTCATGGTGCATGGGAATACACATGCGGGTGTTCATTGATGCATGGGGATACACATGCAGGTGTTCACTGGTGCATGGAGATACACATGCAGGTGTTCACTGGTGCATGGGGATATACATGCAGGTGTTCATGTTGCATGGGGAATGCAATGCATTCTCCTTACCCTCTTACCCTGGAATCACAGCCAGGATATCTTCAGGAGCCTGATGTCTGACCCCTGCTTAGCTCCTTCTTAACCACCGCCGTCCCAGTCCCCATCAGTGCTTTCAGAGATGCATGCCCCAAGGAAACAATCTGGTATCTTATCATTTCACATGCCTGTGTTACTCAAACTGTTGAACTGTCTCTTCGGGTCTGTGCAGTTGGATTCTTGTGTCTAGTGAAGAGATGTAAACTGTATTCAATGCTAGTGAAATGGTCCGCATTCACCAACAATGTTTCCTGAGGAAATTGTGCTGGGGTGGAGACAGTTCCTCCCTTGTGAGTATTTACAGCTCGTCTCCATTGTTTCCCCACAGCAACAAGCTGGCCCATGGGAAGTGCACAACTGCCTTGTCTGGTTTAAAAAGGAGAGAACTACACTTGATCTTAGCCAAAAGGCCTAGAAGTGATAGAGATGGATCAGTGGTTAAGAGCACTGGCTGCTCTTCCAGAGGTCCGAAATTCAATTCCCAGCAACCACATGGCCCTAAATTTGATTCCCAGCTCACAACCATCTATAATGAGATGTGGTGCCCTCTTCTGGACTGCAGGCATACATGCAGGCTTAACACTGTACATAATAAATAAAAAAAAAAAAATTTAAAAAAAAAAAAAAAAAAAAAAAAACTTTTTGTTATGCCCAGATCATGGAGTCCCCCAAAGACCACCAAGGAGTCCAAATCCATATACAAAGAGCCTTTATTCAAGCTCGAGCTTGGACCCTCCACGTGTCTGACAAAGCAGTAGGAGATCAGAGAGCCTTCAGCTCAGAGTTTTTAATCACAGCAGAGGTTGGGTTGAGGGGTTTCTAAGGCTCAGGACCCGTGATTGCCTGACATTTGTCTTGGGTTGTCTTAGTGAAAGGGAATGGGTATGTGCTGGGCTAAGGGACTTAGAGATCCTATCTACAACGGTTGGAACATTAGGTATTTCCTTTGGAATGTTAGGTATTTTCCCTTTGGATGCTGATTGGCCCATTCCCGGGGTGTGCCTGAGTGGTCTGAGTTCCTGGAGTGAGGTGTTGTCTTAGAGTAAACTGAAACTCAGGCCTACTTTCTGGCTGGTCCCTATTTAGCCTGTCATGGCAGCAATGTAGCCAAGCTGCCCTGGGCCCTACACTTTTGCCACCACATTGCTGACCTCGAAGAGAGAGACTGCTGTCCTGGAGAAATATGGAGGCTCTGCATGACCTAGAGAAAGTCTGGAGGACCAAAAATTAAAATTAATAAGAGTTTAAAAACTTGGGCCCTGAAAAGAGAACGTGTAATGACTGGGAATGTCATGGCTGGCACCTCAGCCCTGCTCTCAGAGAAGGGGAGGTAACCCTCCACCACTTGGGTCAAAGTTCCTGTCTTCGAATTGCTGATCTTAAGGTTGTAAAGATTCCCCAGTCCAGGAGGATAACTGACAGACCCTGTGACCCCGTAACCCTGTAACCCTGCAACCCTGCAACCCTGCAACCCTGCAACCCCGTGCCCTGTCTTATCTTACTCAAATGTATCTTGCTTTGAAAGACCCCAGGAGGCTCAGGTACCCAGGATTTCTGCCCAGGACTGCAACCACCCCAATCACCAGGCAGAGGCAAAAACTTGATGCAAACAGCAAGAGGTTTTATTGCAGTTGTTTAACGAGCTAACCCCATGTTAGCTTGGGCCTTTCATCCATCTACCATACCAGATGGCTGGGAAAGACGCCGAGAAGCCACAGGGTAGAGATCTTATAGGGCAGCGTAAGGGGAGTATCTAGGGGTACACACAGGCTCAGGATTGGTGTGCCTCCAGGCTTGGAGGACTTGCCCTGTGTTGATTGGTCAACTGGTTGTTATGGCCCATAGGCCCTCCCAGGGTGGTTGCTATGCTCTGCACATCATTGCTGTGCACTTTCCTTAAAGCACACCCAGAGCCATAAAGCATAGCACTACCAGCTAACTTCTGATTGGTTCCTTGCCTCGAGGCAGGCATCTGACCTCCTAGTGACCAAGATAAGGTCAGGCAAGCACGTGTTGGGCTGTTATGGCTGCCAAAATGGGGAGCTGGTCCCTTCAGCTTAAAATATATAGTTAGTGATTTACTCTGTACTTTGTATGACCTTAAGTAACCATGGAAACTCTGAAATTTGTGGCCTTCAACTTTATGGTCTGTACCTTTAAAAGCTCTTTTTGGTTGGTTGGCATCTCATTTCCCCACCATGGAGTGCGATCCAAGCTGGCCAGCTTGAACAATAAAAAGAAACCTTTTGTTTTAACATTGGAAGTGTCTGCTCCTTGGACTCCGGGAACCTGGCACAAGTCAAGTTGTTTCTGTCCTTATTTCTTTCTGGAATCTGGGTCAGAACTAGCGATGCAGGAAATGCTGGGAGTTCTGATGGCTGTGCGTTAATTAGTGAGGATACAAGATAGACTGTGGCAGCCTCAACCACCAAGGCTTTGAGTCTCAAGTAAAAGGTGGTGCATCAGGGCTGGCATGGTGGCTGCTCTGTCTTTGGAGCCCAGGATCCTTCTGCTCCTCTCTTCACTGTCAGTTTCACCTCATAGGCCTTGATCTAGCCACCACCTCCTGCTGGAGCAGCCTGTGGGACGGGGCAAAAGGGGAAGCAGGTAGTGCTTTCCTTGGGCACAAGCCAGGATTAGTTTGCATTTAGTTCTCCAGAGAGTAGTCTCGAGGCCACCATGACCTGAATGACAGGCAGGAAACAGGTCTGTGAGTATGGGACAGGAGAAATAGTTCAGCAGTTAAGATCACTTGCTGCTCATCCAGAGGACCAGTGTTCTGTTCCTAGGACCCCCATCAAGGAGATGAAAATTGCCTGTAACCCCAGCTCTAGGGCATCTGACGTCCTCTTCTTACTCTGCAGATACTCACACACAGATGTATACATGTGAGCACGTGCACACTCGCGCACACACACACACACACACACACACACACACACACACACCACACACATCACACACACAGACACACTAAAATAGCCAGGTATGGTGGCACATAACCTTTAACCTCAGCACTCAGGAAGCAGAGGAAGGTGGATTTGTGAGTTTGAAACCAGCCAGGGTAACATAGTGAGAGCCTGTCTAAATAAACAAATAATTGTCCTAGTTAGCTCTTTTATCAACGTGACACAAGCTAGAATCATATAGGAAAAAGAAGGAACCTCAATTGAGAAAATCCTCAATTGAGAAAATGCCCCTACCATATTATCATATGGGCAAGCTTATGG